CATACATCAGCCGCCGCTAGGCTGGACAAGCATGGTAATCCTAATTGGGTAACCAGGGCAAGGGCATATATTATTCATGAGATTGAACAGCACATAACTTAGTACATTCTACATAATCACAATCCAGGAGTGTCAAGTCTGACAGACATGAGCGCTTTCCAAGAAGCCACTATTATTATTACATGTATTATTGTATACGGCCTTGAGAAGGACTCCCACTCTGTCTATATATTTAATCGTTTAAGTTAATTGTTTCGTTTTGTTGGCGAAAGAGAAATTGGAATGAAGCTATAGTCAAATGTGTCTCCTTTTTACCAATAGGCCATTTTCGTAATGTAACCAGATTTAATGCGTAAGTCTTTGTGAAGTGCCTCAATACATATTATTTCATTCACCTGATAAGAATAATAGTATTTCAATAGACAGAGTCCGACTTGCATACATTAGTTGTTGCCAGGTAGGACAAACATTGTGGTGAATGAAATAATTTGTATTGAGGCACTTTACAAAGACTTATGCATTACATTTGGTTACATTACGATAATGGCCTATTGAATTGTAATCAGATTGGTTTGCAAAGACTATAGATAAACCACCAATGCCACATAAAGTATGATAATAATAATAATAATTGGATTAATATAGCGCCAGTATTTTTTCCTTAGTATATCAACAAATCAGGAAGAACTTTAGAGATGTGTTTTCAGATGTTTCTGAAGAAGCCAAGTGAATTACTATTTTCCAGAAATAGAGTTATTCCATATAGATTGAAGGGCAATCCGACCCTTGTAATAGGTTTATTTTAATGAAAGCAAAAAAAAATAAGGGAAACAGAATGGCGAAAGTTTGAAAAATTTGGACAAATAATTTATAAGTTTGTGTAATATGAGATCACTACAGCTGTGCGAATCTTTAATTGGCAATCTTGTCACTGAATTTTGACGTTGTGACGGATAACTCTCCTGTTTGTCATGTACAAAGATATCACTAATTTCTTTTCTTTTTTCAAGTGCTTTCACCCTTGGGGCACTACTCAAAATATATCACGGACACTAAATATATTATTACAGGTCCTCTAAAAAGTTGAGACCGTCCCGAGTCATTCATTTTTGGACAGATTTTTTTTTTTTTAAATTTTGTTTATGGGACCAAATAGGAAAGTTATCCGTTTAAGTACAGAGTCATCGGCAATCTTGTCAGTGGATTGTGACATAGTGACTTTTTATCGTTTTTCGAATTCAAAAATATCACTAATTTTTATTTTTCTTCCAGGTGCTTTCAACTTTCACACAACATACCAGTTTGCTTTGTTAAATTCAAAGGATTCGCGATTCACAGCTCATACTTCTGCACCCTTGGAACACTTTTGATTTTTAAGTTGTCATTTATGCTCACGATAGATACAAAATTAAGAATGTTTAAGTTAAAAATCATCCTTAATCTAATACCAACCAAAGTCTGGTAGGTTCGTATTAAGAGAACTGAAAATGCAGGTTGCTACTTTTGTAATAATGATGATGAAAATCTCGAATACCTTTTTGTTTCGTGTAGAGTTATATAACAGTTTTTTTAATAATATAGGTCCTTTTCACAATGCTGTGTAAGTGCAGCCACCCCCTCCCGCTTCATAAGCCTACGTGCACAAATAAAGTCTACTTACTTCTAGGGAAGAACACCGACGACCCCAGTATGAGAGCAAACAATCCTCTGACTACAGGCATGGCTACTTAATAAATGCCAAATATGCTGTCCACAAGATAATGAAGGTTTCCGCTCTTCAATTAGTACCAGAAATGTTACCTGCTGGTCAAAATTTGCGTTTTTCTTCACTTCACAAAATCCAATTAAAGGCAGGTTAGACAGTGTCAAGTGAAGAACAGTTATAGAGAAGCGTAATAGATGGTCAAAGGAGTTCGCTTCCAGTCCTGACAGTGCGCACTAACACATTTTCACAAACTGACGGGTTTTTATGATTAACTGATATTCCATATGAGTTGGGTGTCGATCCCGGGGGATTGGGGGGGGGGGGGGATATATCCCCCCAATCAAGGGTGTCGATTTGTATCCGTGGTTGGGGGGGGGGGGGTAATAGGTTCCAAATATATGGATCAAAGAAACCAAGAGGTAGAAGCGTGTGGCATGTTGCACCCCCTCCCCGAGCGCGTAGCCAGGATTTCATTTTAGGGGGCGGTAGTGAGCACGCGAATCCCTTACAGAGCGCGCTCCCTAGGATGTTGGGTGCAGGGAGGAGACAGTTAGAGAAAGAAGACGATTCGTTGGACCGTTCTCGACTCTTAATCCTTGTTTGAATCAAGTTCCCCTTCCTCCGCGCGTAGCGCGGAAGCTCTTACGTATCATTAGATTATTAAAGAAAGGAGATGATTCGATGTACCATTCTCGACTCTTAATCCTCGTCTGAATTCAGTCCCCCCCCCCCCCCTTTAGCGCGAAGTCCGGAAGCTTTCACGTTTCATTTAATTAATAGAGAAAGAAGACGATTCGATGTCTCGTGTCCTTGTCTTAATTCAGTTTCCCCGCGCGGAAGCTTTGCATTTCAATAAATTATTACTTTTAATCCTTGTCAGAATTCATTTTCGCCCATCCCGCGCAAAGCGCGGAAACTTTCACGTTTCATTGAATTATTAGAGAAAGAAGACGATTCGTTGTATCGTGTCCTTGTCTGAATTCAGTTTCCACCCTACCGCGCGAATTGCGGAAGCTTTGACGGTTTAATAAATTATTACTCTTAATCCTTGTATGTATTAATTTTCGCACATCCCGCGCAAAGCGCGGAAGCTTTACCGTTTCAATTAAATTATTAGAGAAGGAAGACGATTCGTTGTATCGTGTCCTTGTCTGAATTCAGTTTCCCCCCATCCCGCGCAAAGCGCGGAAGCTTTGACGTTTCATTTAATTGTTACTCTTAATCCACGTCTGAAATCATTTTCGCCCATCCCGCGCGTAGCGCGGAAGCTATCACGTTTCCTTAAATTATTAGAAAAAGAAGACGATTTGTTGTATCGTGTACTTTGACGTTTCATTTAATTATAACTCTTAATCCTAGTCTGAATTCAGTTGCCCCCTCCCGCGCAAAGTGCGGAAGCTTTGCCGTTTCAATAAATTATTAGAGAAAGAAGACGATTCGTTGTACTGTTCCCTATATTAATCTTTGTCTGAATTCAGTTTCCCCACATGATGTACGTATGGAACGTTCGTTCGCAAATGTTTGCATGCATAGCCCGAGTGGTGTGTATCATGTTATCTCCCGGCAGTGCTGGTCGCAATAGCTTCTGGAAAGGAATTGTATACTAATGTTAGTGTTATCGGCCACTAAGTAGGCCCATTAGTGACTATACAAAATATATGCTCTTCCTGGCTATTTGGGAATGTGTCAGTTTGCAACAGAAATAGAGAAACGCGAATTTTGTTGAAAATCATCAACATTTATAAATCACTTGTATGAAATTGAAAATAAGTTATGGTTGGATGTTTTTTGGGGGGCTAGCGCCCCAAGCCCCCCCCCCCCCCCAACCAGTACGCCAGTGACATAGGCCTACATCAGCTTTTCAATAAAACAAAAATAATTAATTAATTTTTCTCTTCATTCTTTTTTATGGTGAATTGTTGGGGGGGGGGTGATTGTACAGGCCATCCCCCACCCCCCCCCCCCGGGATCGACACCCATGCCCCCAATATTTCAGGTGGGGGGGGGGTGGCCTGTACAATCATCCCCCCCCCCCCCAATAATTCACCATAAAAAAATGAAGAAAAAATTTCATAATGAGAGCCCGATGAGATTAGTTAATGGTTATTACTCGCAAGATGACCATCAATATACACATTTTGCTATCTCATTTTCATAATACATACATAAACGAAGTAAATGAGACAACCGTATATGAGACAAGAATAAATTTAATTCTCGCTCATACGGCTTCATCAGGAATTGATGAATTCATTCAATGTATTCAATCAACAGCATCATAGAAATGTAGTGCGCCAAATGCAAAGCCGCAGCGTTAAAAAACAACGAGCTAAATGTTAAGCGCGAAGGCCCTATAAGGCATCTGCAACCACGAAGCATATGGGACCCATATTGGTAAACCATATAAGGCAGATGGGACCCAGATGGGACCCATACCAAACTGGGCCTAAATGGGTATGCCCAGCTTAATCCCATCTGGTACCCATATTGGTTAACCCAGATATACCCCATGTGGGTTAACCAAGATTTTCCCCATGTGTTACCCATATGGGCATATTCATATTCTACCATTATGTGTACGCCCAGCTCATTTCCATCTGGGACCCATAAGGGCTGGCACAGATAGATCCCATATGGATTACTAAATATTGGCCCCATATAGGATACATATATGGGTTCCATTTAGCCCAGATGGCACAAGTGACCCAGATCATCTCCCAAAAGGGGAAGAAACGGGCAGAAGAAAAAAGAAAGGGGAAGAGAAAAGGAAGAAAGAAAAGAGAAAGAGGGACATATACACTGTCGCTCATAATAGTTGGAATATTTTTGTTTTACCCCAATTTATGGAATTATTTTAAAAATAATTTATTCCTAATAGATCTAGATAATAGTATACATTTTCAGATTTTATTGGATAATAATTTGACAATGTGTGTTTTGCGTGACTGCTAAAGCATGTATTTGCTACTATGCTTATCAACTAGGGGACCTACGCCCTTGAGTCATAAATGACAGTAATGAGGATTAATGCCCCATAAAAGGGCCCTAATATAGCACATCGACACGGTTTCGATCCTGGGACCTCACAGTTACGAGGCCATTGCTTTGTCACTGAAACATGACTGTACGCAGCGGAGGCTAGGGTAGGGGGCAGTTTCCATAAATAAAAAAGAGAAAAGAAAATGCAATAATTTTCAATATTTTATTGCATTTTACCCCGGTCCCCAACATTAAAAAATCCTCTGTGTGCCCATGCCTTGAGCCATAATGCATGGCCGTCCAGAGGATTTTTATTTATGTATACCAAAGTGGTTCGCGTGCTCGTCACAAAAAAACGTCGAAAAAGAGTCGATTTTTGGCCTTGTGGCGTCGTCGACGTTTTTAGAAAAAGGGGTGCTTATCAGGTTAAGTTTCGACGTTTAGCGTATCTTTTTTCAACTTGAATTCAGGGGCGGATCCACGTAGCGATTTTTCCGGCCCCCCCCCCCTAGCCCCCCAAAACGATAAAAAAAAAGTAGGATAATAACGTAAAGTTTTTTTAAAACACAAAACAAAAGCGTCCCCCCCCCCCCCCAAAAAAAAAAATAATAAATAAATAAATAAAATAATAATAATAATAATAATAATAATTGATTCACTGACCGGCTGAGTCGGCGCTAAATTTTTCCTCCCAAACTCGATCAAAAAAGGGAAAGACGAAAGGTGCTCTCCCCCCCCCCCGACTTATTCGCTGGCCGGATGAGTCGACGCTAAATTTTGTATTAAGATTTGGCTCCCCACCCCCCCCCCCCCCCCCCTTGTTGCCAGCTGGATCCTCTGCAGGCGCGGATCCACGGGGGGGGGGGCTGACGGGTCAACAACAGCAATTTTTTTTTTTTTTAATTATTAAAAAAAAAATTCTCACGAAGAAGGCCAAAAAACCAAAAAGGTGGTCTTACCCCCCCCCCCCCCCCTCCTCCCCCGCTTATTCACCGGTGGTTGAGTCGCAACTAATATTTTCTCACGGATTGGCCCCCCCCCCCCCAGAACCGTACGCCAATAAGGAGCGAAATTTTCTACACTGATTACGCCATTTAGGGTCCATTTTTGAGGTGCTGTGACGAGCGACCCCCCCCCCCCCCCCCGGAAGAGAGTCAAATGAAGAACCTAAAGCAATAAGTTTTTCATTTACTAATGAAAACTATGATTTTTTTTTAGATCTCCTTGCACAGATTATTGGAATGAGTTTTTTTCACGATGAATGTTGTTTGGAGTCATCAATATTCATAAAATGTATGTTTCTATCACCAGGAAATAAAGAATTTTCTGTCTACATGAACCTTTCCTGGTTGCTTACTATTGCATTTGCCCACTGGTAACATAATACATTCACAAATTGAAGTCCCTCACCATTGGATTTTTTTTTTGTGGTAAATTTCGTTTAAAAATAGATGATATCAGTCTGGTACGCCTACACTGCAGGCAAGAGTCAGGACTAACATTTAGCATATTATTAATTTTATTACCACTCTTATATTCTCTGAAATGTTATCTTTATTGAAGGTGACTTGAAAAGTTGATAGCTTGGAAGGGAGGGGTGCAACCTGCCACACGCTTCTACCTCTTGGTTGCTTTGATCCATTGCCGTAAATATTTTGGCACCTTCACCCCCCCCCCCCCTCCCCCAACCATTGATACAAATCGATACCCCTGCATATGACATTCGCCTATGGCAGGCGTTTAATGCCTCAAAGCTCGTTGTTTTAAAAAAAGATCGGTCTCTTTCATAATGTAATTGATCTTTTACGATTGATGACTGGTTTAACCAATCAGAGGGTAAAAGTAGACCATCCTTATCGCAAGTGATACATTTGGTGCCAGGTAAAAATGACAGAGGTTAAAAAATGTCAGAGGTAAAAATGTCAGAGGAAAAAATGTCAGAGGTAAAAATGTCAGAGGTAAAAATGTCAGAGGTAAAAATGTCAGAGGTAAAAATGTCAGAGGAAAAAATGTCAGAGGTAAAAATGTCAGAGATAAAAATGTCAGAGGTAAAAATGTCAGAGGTAAAAATGTCAGAGGAAAAAATGTCAGAGGTAAAAATGTCAGAGGTAAAAATGTCAGAGGTAAAAATGTCAGAGGTAAAAATGTCAGAGGAAAAAATGTCAGAGGTAAAAATGTCAGAGATAAAAATGTCAGAGGTAAAAATGTCAGAGGTAAAAATGTCAGAGGTAAAAATGTCAGAGGTAAAAATGTCAGAGGTAAAAATGTCAGAGAAAAAAATGTCAGAGTCTGACATATAAAACAAATATTTTCGAAAGATTGAAATATGAGATCACTACAAATATGCGGATCTTAAATTGGCAATCATGTCAGTGAATTGTGGATGTAGTGACAGATCTCCCGTTTGTCGAATAGAAAAATGTCCGTAATTGCTTTCGCCCTTTACGTCATACGCTTTGTATATCAGGGGCGGATCTAGCTTTTTGCTAAGGGGGGGTTGACCAATAATGACGATGCGGAGCATCGTCCACGAGCCGCGAAGCGGCGAGCCGATTTTTTTGGGGGTGTTTATTTGAACCCCGTAAGTGATGTTTTCCTGGCATCTATTAACACAATGGAGACCATAAAAAGCTGTAAAAAAAGATGCGAGACTGGATTGCCGCAACTTCTTTGCCCTGTTTGCTTCCATATTGCTTGTCACTACACGCAGACCAGACTGATAAAAAAGTGAGCAACTTGAACAAGTAATCCAGGAAATGAGCAGCCCAGCTCAGCGTGCGTTGCCAGGTTAAATCTTCACAAAATCCCCACCCAAACGACACTTAAAATATCCCCAAAGTTGCCAAATTTTGACAGAAAATCCCCAAATTCGTTTTTCATAAAACTCAATATTATTTTCATTCCCAAATATTTATTTTTCATCCCCAAAGACTTCAACAATCCCCCAATTTTTTTTTTTTTTTTAATGTGGGGATTTTGGGGATGAGAATCGGCAACGCTGGCCTAGCTTGTCACTTCGGCGGTGGCCCGTGTCCTCAAAAAAGCTGATGGGGGGGGGGGGGGCAAGGGACTCTGTGACATTTGTTCGCCCACCCCCCCCCCCCTCCCCCAAAAAAAGAAATAATAATAATAATAATAATAATAATAATAATAATAATAATAATAATAATAATAATAATAATAATAAATGAAATAAATACATAGAAATAGAATAAAATAAAATTACAAGTTTAAAAAAAAAGATAAGATTTAAAAAAATGGTCCCCGGATTTTTTTTTGGGGGGTTGCAACCCCCCCCCCAACCCCCCCCCCCCCCCCTCTAGATCCGCTTCTGTATATTTACGCCAAATATTCATTACTGTATGAAAATGTAGGTAATGTGATTGGCAAATATCTAGGGTAGGGTAACAGCGAAGGATCTGGGTTAGTAGGAATGTGGTGTTGTCGTTTGTTTTTGTGTGTGTGAAGTTTAGTCTAATATGTAAAATTTATTTTTATATAATTTCCCGTTATTGTGTTGAGATCATTTTTCTATATCACATACTATTTTTAACATGTCCTGTTTTGTTTTTGATGATGATTAATCTTGTATATGTACATGTAATAGGATTTAAATTCAACAAACCTTTATCAAAAGACAAATATATTCATGAAATTTGTTAACAGTTATTTCCACGACAAAATGTCCGTCTGGGGACGTGATCTCGGGAATCCAATCACACTTTGGAAAATGGTATGTTTAATTTATGTTTGGGTGTTACACCAATGCTCACTTGAATGATGATGAATAAAAACGGACAAGTTTAAAAGGGAAATTAACGCCAGCGACATCCTTACTATTAATATTATTGTGTAGCTGATGTTTGTGATTTATCTCGACCCTTCCATAACTAGTTGTAATTGCGAAATTAAAATTAAACAAATACTTGTAGATATTCTGAGCAATATTCAAGCAAGCAAGACACGCGGCAGATCAAAGAATTCAAAGAAATAACAGACGATCTTCTCTTTACCAGAGCGTTTATGGGTCTGGCTTTCTTGGTAAGTCGGTAGTGTATCAATTGAATATAGCTTCGGAACTTGAAAGAAGAGATCGAGTTTAGTTGATTTAATTGAGACAATAAAGCTACTTGAAACCCATCTTCACCCATTCAAGTACTGCAATAAATCTGTGTAATCCGTGTCGTGTTTCAAGATCGTGGGAACGTTCGCGAAGAAGTGTAGGGGACTTTGCAGGACTGGTCTGCCAGAGGCGGATCCATTCGGCGGTGAGGGAGGGCCCAAAATTGTGGGAAAATATTAAGCGGCGCATCAGCAAAAAGCAAAAAAGTTAAATTGTGGTTACCACCTTTTTTCGCCAGGGTTGAGGGCCGTCCCTTTTTTTAAAAGGTAAAATTGTGATTGCCATTATTTTCTTTGTTTGGCCAGGTATGGGGGCCTGCCCCCCCCCCCCTGGATCCGCAACTGAGACAGCTTCTATTAATTTGCGTGGTTATATTCAGACAGTCATAACTCAGAAAGGTTTCTGCGGATGGTGTATTGTGCAATGACTCGTCTAGACAAGGGGTACCCCGTACAATATAATTTAAGGGCGTCACATTAATACTAGGGACTTTTAGATTTGCAGCCGACATAGTGGACTGATACGTGTGACGTCCTTTTGCCTTAAATGGACGTCACACGTAGCAGTCCACTATGTCGACGTGTACATATAAATGTCCGTAATATGTGGTAGTCGACCTTTATATTTCAATCTTCATTTATACCCCCCCCCCCTTCTCTCTCGATCTCCTTATCTCGTACTCAATTACGCAATTTATCAACATGACTTTATGATTTTGAATCACTGCGCTGAATATTTTGTATATGAATATAGATAAACGACAAAGAGAGAGATGGAGATATAGAAAAGTATCAATAGGAGGGAAAGGGACAGAGTGAGGGGAAAACGGATATAGAAAGAGGTTAAACTAACTTTAAAAAAGAGAATAGGAGATACCTAATGATGTAAAAGCTTTAAGCTTTTACAATTTCAAATCGGACAGTAGAGTGAGATAGTATTGTATTGGCTCTTTTCTCTATCTCTCTCTCTCTCTCTCCCTCACATATCTCTCTCTCTCTCTCGCTCTCTCTCTCTCTCTCTCTCTCTCTCTCTCTATATATGTATATCTTTTATTAAATCCGCTCTTATTTTACTATTATAATTTTTTAATTTGTATTGCGTCTTATTTTGAATTGTTTATATTTTGTATGTAATTTGTATTATGTATGCACGGACTTGCAGAAGAACAGCAATTGATCCGTGTTTAAAAAAATAAAATGAAAAATGAAATGATGGAGAGGGAGAAAAGGATAGAGGAGAAGAAGGGAAAAGAGAGGGGAAATGAGAGAAAGAATGGATACAGGCACACATAGAAAGTGAGAAAGAGAGGGATGCCATTATATTGAATGAAAACTCTACACTCCTTCACTTATCCTCGACTATCCCCGTATACTTTGAATAAACACTACTCTCTATAATATGTTCTCTCTCTCTCTCTCATCTGACAATCGCCTTACTCATCAATGCTACATTCAATCCTATCTCTCTGTGTATATATTAACATTCTTATCGATAAAATATACAAGCCACAAAACAGACAATGACAATTCAAAGTAAAGTTGATATCAAAATATAATTGCTTGAATAATTTACACAATATTTTACATGAAATATGCAATTTCAATTATCATATTAATGAACTCTTTGGCACGAGATGCAAGAACATCGGCAATAACAGAAGCTTACTTGATTGAAAATGAAACATGTCTTAAATATAGCAAAGGTTTTAACGTCAATAACCTAATAATGACTCTGTAGTCAATGCATTTCAGACTGAGATCCTTTCCAACTGTCGGTCCAGAAGATGTGTCTTGTAATGTCTCTTCAGGTTGCCAGACTGCGCGAAAGCTCGCTTACATCCTTCATGTTGACAGCGGTAGGGACGTTCCCCGGTATGAGTACGACGATGTTTGGTCAACGTCGACAGATCCCCGAATCGTTGTTGACAGTCCTGGCAGCAGTAAGGACGATCTCCTGTATGAGTGCGTAGATGAGTACGAAGAGACGTTCTCTGAGCGAAGGCTTTGGGACAGGACGGACATTGGAAGGGACGAGCTCCTGTGTGGGTTCGCTGATGGGACGAACAGTTTGAGGCCTGAGTGAATCGCTTGGGACAGAACTTACAGGAAAAAGGCAGCTGACGTTCAACGGTGAAGTTCGATGAAGTGTTCGGTGAAGTCTCATCCAATCGTTGACGCTTCGTAGGCATCGCGGATATGTCCGAACGTCGGAGCGTCTCGGTGAGCTCGTGATAGTATGAAGGAGACGAGGTGGAGCTACCCGGAGAAGATCGCGAGCCTTCGGTATCGGAGTTCGAGTAGGCCGAGCCGGTAAGTGATGCCGGAGCGGGCCATGATCGCTGGGAAGAGGCAAGATAAGGTGGTAGTGGTTGAGAGTTCGTACGCACATGACCGTAGCTAACGTTACCGCTACGTGGAGCGGTTGACGGTGAGGACGACGAAATCAGCCAGTTGACAACGGATGTTCGACGAGACGACTTCGATGTTACTTGGTCACTACGCTGAATGCATTCCTGTCCAGATAGACGAGTGCTACAAGCATCTCCAGCAGGACACAGCGGACAGTTCGGAACGCCACATTTGAAGATAGTCGACGGAGTTTCGTGGCGATGTCGAGACCAGATGACGGAGGCGATGGCCTTGTTGAAGTCGGGTTCTTGAGTCTCAATGGTGATCGGTGATAGGTCACCCTTGCTCCCAAGGGACAGGAGTGAAGACGCCGCGTGCAGACGGTCCATGTCGAAATCGTTGCGATTGGACCTGGATGACAAAATAAAAAGAGAGGAAGGCAATTAGTTATGCTGCCATGATACAAGCCAAACGGTTATTTAAATAGTGTTCTTATTTTAAAATGAATTATCTTTTAGTTTTGACAAATTCGAAGATTCAAACTATTACTTAAACATTAAATTAATAAAAACTGTAATTATTTGAAAGAACTCAAGTCCCGCTAATAAAGGTTGTTGATATTACAGTCAATGTATCAAAGTTGATATCATATAAAAAAATCCAAAAATATACTTGTGTGTTTGATTGTGTTTATATCTGCGCTCAAATAACAAATACAAGGTTATACATTTTTACATAAGTATTACATAGCAAATCATGTCCAAGCATATTATACATTAATCATAGTACAAAGTATACACGTATAACGGATATTTGTATATATTTTCCATTGAAATAAAGATATAAGTGTTAGAACGCAGGGGAATCGTGAGCGGTTGGGCTTTAAATGGATGGCGGCCTCATATACTACTGGACAGTATACATAAAATTAGAGTTAAATTGTGAAATAATATATTTTAGAAACACTTACGTGATGCTGAAAGGCAGTGGAGACATCGAGGTATATTGCAAGGAACAGGCGTTGTAAAAGGTTACTCCAAATAGATATTTGCCGTACTAGTTGATTGTGAAGAGTTCGTGTTGCTCTGGAGAAGACAAATGTTCAGAATGCCAGCTATCTAGCATTTCCTGGCGATTTATACAATTTCAAACGTTAAAGCTGACATTGTATTATCACACTTCCTCTCAATAAAAGAACAGTGTATCAAGCCCAGTTACATAGAATTCGGCACGTTGTCAAAAGGAGATAAAGCTCTGTACGCTGTCTATTGAGCGGAGGTGGGACCGGTTCCTGGCGCTCTGATTGGTCACTAGTTTATTGAGGCGGTGACATCAATGAACTTTGACCGGTGGACGTCCAGTGGCCGAGCTAGGGTTTATTGTTTGGCTATGTTTTCAGATGCCCCGCGCTGGACAATGGCTTCAAAAGAAGCGCTACCTGCTAAATATCCAAGACCGTTTAACTTCTGCATGAACAATGATTCTTACTTCGAGGATGTACAGAATAGAGGACACAGGACATTGAAAAGAAATCTTCAACTGGGCCTCTGAGTAATCAACATACAGCATGAGCATAAAGAATGAAACCAATGGTTATTTAACGTTTCATTTGGTTATACATGACACAGATCGTGGGAAAACCTTCAAAAATTCAATTTGTGAATGTTAAAGTTGTTTATCAGTAGATTAATAAAGAGTTTGAAACAAGCACCTGAGCATTCCTGTAAATTAGATTACGAATCATAACCGAAAAACGAGCTAAAAAGCATCACAAGTCGTGTTTACTTCGACATAGTTACTTACATTTCAGTGGAATTCACCAGTTAATGAATTTCAACGTGAAAAAAAAAATATCTTGTCACAGATTTGCGACTTAGTAAACTTGTCATGAATTATCAATGACTTATGAAGAAAAATCTGGCGTTAAACTCCTTTTGATGAATATTTGTATTATGCATTCTGAATTGATCAGTGATCTATCCACACGTCATTGCTTTAATTTCCCGAAGTTTGATACTTAATTGAAAATGTAGCAAATTTATTGCAAAATGAGGTTAATTTCCAAACATTGTATTTGTGAATATCAAAACACTTATTTTAGAAAAAAGAGGATGTTCTGGCTTTTTTTACTTATTATTACCGACAGATTTACACATATTTCCAGCTTTCTTAACTTTCATTATAAAGTGGTTTTTATTTTTATTTTTTAAATACCGGGAAAAGCAAAATATATCTCGCAAGCTTTGATATTCTCGTAGATATAATTATTAATTAGATTAAATGATTATACCTTTTGAAAGGTACAATTACGTAATGGATTTATATTATGATATAGTTATATATGTATGTTAACTTTTGTTAATAACATATATGTACGGTATATTAGGTACAGTACCTAATTTGTATATTACTTTCAATTGTGTTGAAAATGCAGAAATAAAATCAAACAAACAGACAAATCTTTTCTTGAAAAAAATGACTAAGGAGGAAAAGAAAACTAATAATGATGAAGAGGAAGAAGAGGAAGAAGAATAAAATTGAAAGGAAATAAGAGGAAGAAGTAGAAAGAAGCAAATAAAAATGAAGTAGAAAAGGAAAAAAGGAAATTGGAAAACATAAAAACAGAGAGGGTGAGTTAAAGATAAAAAAAAGAAATCACAGAACATGGGGATTAGGGATAGAATATTTTAAAATGGAGCTGGAAATGTGCGTAGCCGTCATATTTCCGTCAGTCAAATAATCTAAAATGCCATTCTAAACGTCACCACAATCCTCTCCAGGTTCCTATGTTAAGAAAGAAATTGAATATAAGCCCCAGACGAATATCAGACGGCCCTGATTAAACAAACGATGACAGACAAATTAATTAGAATAAGCAGCTATATTAATTTCTCTAATGGCATTGCTGAGGGAAGGGGAGCGTGAACTCGAAAGGAGGCATGAACTAATAGTTCGGGGCGCATCCAGAACGAAAAAAAAAGGGGTAGGAGAAAAAATATTTGACGAGCAAAAAATAGGGGGATAAAATACATGTGTGTATTAATGCGATACATTGTTAAAATGGAGATTGTTGTGCCATTGCCCAAGCATCACAAGCAAAATTAATAATAAACATTTTGTGTTATTAAGCAATGCCATATTGCGATTAAAAGGGGATACTGACCGCTTGTTCGCCATAAAATCCGCCAGTCTCTTGGTCAATCAACCCTTTTACTGTGAAGTTGCAAATGTACCATATCCAATTAACTAGAATGCCGTTGTCTTTGACGATTTTGTTTAGTGATGGGTATATGGGGCTTTGAATGAGCGCGGGTAATGATAGAATTTTTGGTTCGCTGAACGCTGCGTGCGGTCGCCATAGCAACGTTTACTCGTACTATAGCGGGCAATGTCACTCGACCGATCACATATTCCATTATTGCATTTCATCTCCCCATAGTAGTAAACTAATGGAGGTACACAAAAGATTAATTAAAATGAAGTGTCGAATCGGAATGTCAAATCATCGTTGGAAGACAAAAATAATAGTAAACGGCAGCAATATTTTCAATAAAGTACAGTGGACTTGCAAAACTAATGCCTACTCTTACATTTCATCTAAGGTACGTATTTTTGAGGCGGTATTACTCATTATAGATTCGTTACTGCTCATACACATAGTGGTGATATGCATCTGAAATATATCACAAACATCACTATGTGTTATATATACATGCATAATATGAAGAAGCCCTATGGCTATGGGCGAAATATTGTTTAAAGATAAAGGTGAGTTCTGGTAATGCGATTGCATTGTGAAAGAAAAGGTGTGGAATGGATCAGAAAAGTTGATCATACAGCATGTACGTATTGGTGTGTAATACAAGGTTCTGGAGTCATCAAAATCATCATAAATTTGGCCCAGTCTTGGTAAAGTAATAATCACTGTACATAGAAAGATGTATATGGGACAACACAAATGGTGTAGGGGCTAGTACTACCTTGATTTCCTTATCTTTCTATGCTCATTACTCAGCCAGTATATATTTTCTTCCAAAATTGTTTGGCACATGACATTTATTTGTAACCTTAAACATTCAGTGTAAGTTTCGTTAGATTCTGTGAGAATTCATTTTCTTTTTTTACCAGAACTAGAGTTTATCTTTAACCGACGTTTCAACAGAGGTTTTTTATTCTCTTTTGTTTTGTGTCAATATATATATATATATATACAGATAGCCAAAATGTATTTAAAATGTTACACAGTTAAATCTTCTTTTTTATATATTAATGGGGGCATGGTCATACAAGGTGGGTAACATGCGAGAGAGCAAGGACGTAGAGGGAGGGTGAGGAGGTAAGATGGGGTGGTATTATCTTCTTTTCACGTCGCGCCTTCACTCTCTCTCTCTTTCTTTCTTTCTACCTGTCTCTCTCTCTCTCTCTCTTCCATTTCCCCTTGTGATGGGGGTATATCTATCTCACAGCCACAATCCTTACATCCCATTGCAGTATATCCATACGAGAACTATTACCAAGTGCAGATGGGCGTGCTTGGAAACATTTAAAACATTTACCTCTGAAAGTTTTCCCACTGGCCGAGTCCATATTGAGAGTAACAACTCCTATCAACCATGTATGAACTACTATAATTCATTTTCTGATGGAATCATAAAAATTATATCAAGAGATGATTGACTTCGGTATAAAAATAGCCCCAGTTGTTTAATGCATGCCCTTTCACCAGGTACATGCAAGTAATATCACGTACCTTAATATAAATTGGGCAACGGCATGATGATTCACAGCATTTGTATGGCGCCATATATCTGTTTCAAAAAACATTCAAAGGTGCGACCTCCACCAATACAGTTAACATTTAAATGTCTGAAGGAAGATGTGAGTTTTGAGTGAAGCTTTGAAGTGATCAAGGTTGTCAATTTTGCGAATAGATGAGAGATTAAATATCATTAGGGGTTGAAAAGGGAAATGGATAATAACAAAAAATATTTTGCAAAACAAATGACAATATTGACAGAATGACATCATAAACCAATTATAACAAAGGATGATTTTCAAAGTTGTAGAAGTTAATAATATAAATAAGTTTTATGTGGGGGAGACATTTTTTCTTAGTTTCGGAGAGTGGGTAGTCTTGAGGTTAAAGGGAAATACAATCCAAATTGTAAACAACTCTAACAAAAAAGCAGGAAGATCAGAAGAAAAAAAGATTGTTGAAAGTTATACCAAAAAATAAGAAAGTTGTGATTTTTTTTTAAAGTGCGATCACTATACGTATTTGCACTTCAAGTTGGCTGAGTCGGTAATGTCGCTGTGATGTAGCGCTGGACAATTACTTGCCCATTAGTTCCAAAACAAAAAATGTCTAAAATGTTTTTCTTTTTTTCTATATGTGTGAATCGGGATAGTCTTTACTATTTAAAGATCCGTTAATAACATATGCTCCATAATATATTTTGGGTATTCTGGTCCGATTTATTTCACAATTTCGCCATTTTTCTCTTTACTTATTTTCTGCTTTCATACAGTAAACTTATCACAGTTGTTGGATTGCCCTTAAATGACCCCAGATGGTAGGTACGCCCCCGGTATTGAGTCATGATGCATATCCCTTGTCTAGTCGAGTCAAACATGTCACAGAGACACTGTCCACAGAGGGCTTTCTTCTACGTGATTTTAAAAGCGCAAATCAATAGAAGCTACAGCCCTGCAAGTCCTGCAATCTAACGCACTGCTTCGCGAACTTTCCCACGATCTTGAAAAGAAACACGACACAGATTACACGGATCAATTGCAGTGTTTGAATGGGTGATGGTGAGTTTCAAGTGGCTATAAAGTCTTAATTGAATTTGATGTTTTCTTCCATTTGTATGGCTCGTTTTCATCACAATACCAGGAAAGGCTCATCTGTAACTGATCCATCAAACAGAGGCTTTGACATCAGTTCTTTGAAGTCATTGATTCTCCCGATATCAGACAAGAGATGTGTTACATGGTCAAAACAACATGAGAATGATCATGTTGGTATATTAATAAAAACAAATGTATGAATTGTTGGATTGTATATCATACACAATCTTTGATCTTGACAGTGGTGATGTTTGTTGAC